AATCGTCTAATGGCTTCTCTCCCAAGTGGCATTTTGCTCTTCCCGGCTGACTGCCAGTCAAGGTATAATTTATTCAAACTTTATCCCCTTGTCCGGTGGGGGAGATACATGTATGTAGGCTTCAGCATTCATAACACGTTCAGGGGTGACTGGCTCTTAAAAGGCCATGCTAGTGACTTTTAAGCTTTGGTTATTTTGTCGCAACAATGGGCTTATCTTCTAAGTTTTCGACTGTGGTCGAACAATAATGTGGGAAAATGCGTGTGAAGATGTTGATGCAGAATGCCAATAATAACAATATGGAATTGGACGACAGACAGTGATAATTAAGATTGAATTTCAATTTCCTTATTTTATCCGGAATTTAAAAGATAAAACTCAATAACAACAATATGTTTGTGAAGTGATAGCCATGAAGTCCTCCTCAAATGATGTCATGAAAATCTTCAGGACAATACCAGGACCGATCTGCGTGACCTATTATCCCAGATATTCACTTCTATGGCCTACGATTCTTATGCTTGAAAAAATAAACAGGCCACCAACATTCTTGCACTCTTTGGTTGCCTTATAACTTTGTTACCTTCCATTTACAAAATGGGATGTAATGCGATCAAATTTCCGAATACTTAAGAATTTAAGTAAATAAGCGAAAAACATTGCCTACTTATGCAGGAAAAGTGTCATCTACCAAGCTTTGGCTCGTCAGGAAGGAGCACAGAGACACAATTTATCAAAATCCGAAACCAATTCCCGCAACCCAATCCCCTATAGCTGAAGAGTTGGTCGGTGCCTCCGTAGACCGCGTGCGTCCTTTCTGTAAAAGATGAAATTGCGTCAGCTTGCATTCTATCCTCCCTCTGCTCAAACAGTGCTGTTTGAAGAAGTGGGAAAGGCTTTGGTACGAAGGCAAACACGCTTTTGCCGTGGTAATTTGCCTAACTGTACCGCTGTATCCCCGCGTTGCTAGGGTGGGGAAGCGCGCCTCTAATAAATTTTAGTCTGGGAACACAACAGCCCGCATATTCCCGAAAAGCTGAAATGACCCTCCTTGTATTTAGGCAAGGATCTTCATATGTTCAGGCGCTGCTGACATTTTGCAGGATTTTTTCTTACATGAATGGACAGTTCACATAATCACATCTCTGCAAAGCAGCTCGATGGATTTAAAGGTCAACATTCTTGCTTCTGTTTTCAACCTAAAGTTTGTGTACGTTTTAATGGTTAATTCCAAGCAAAATTAAGAGTTTTAAGAAATGGCGCGAATTGCCTTCCTCCATAATACAAACCTGAAGAGCAATAAATCTCAGGAATGTCTCAGTCCGATCCAAGTGGAAGGGCAGGCTGAAAATCGAAGGAGACCTTTACCAAAGAGAGCAAGTGTTGCAACGGTAGCATTTTTGTTTGTTTGTTGGGGTGTATGTTTGTTTGTTTTTAAATTGAGCCTTTTGAGCCCAAAGGAGTGTTAGCAAACCACTACGACTTAAAGTTACAAAGAGTTGACAAAGTGATCACTGGCCGTTGCCATGGAGACTTTTGCCAATGATGAGCACTTTGTCATCTTCGTTGTCTTCTTAAGCCTTTGCAAGCGCTACGCACCAACTCCTCTTTCGTTTGAGTAAAATTAGGATCGGTTCCCGGAAACGATGTCCCTTTCGCGGGAAAAGGTGCAATGTTGACATTGAAGGGGAACAGTCACGTTATTGAGGTGTTTTTCAAATGGTGTTTTCTTTTAAGTGTTTCAAGTGAACAATCCAAGAACGTTCTATTCTTGCGAATGCGCAGCAGCCAGTAGTGTGAATGTTGTTCCCTTTACCGTCAAAACGAATGAAACAAATTATTTTTCCGCTTTGTCGTTAAATTGGACACTGATATTTATTTCGAAATCGCTCTATTGTCTCAACCCAGTTATAGCCTTTACAACGATACTTACGGAGAGCAGGCTGTGAAGTGAACAAGGCATGGTAAATAATGTAAAACCGCTTCAACTCACATTTACCATATTTTTGTGCTGCGCCAAGTTGCGTTTTCTATCCGCCTAGAGCAAAGGAACCCTTCATTGCTTGAAAAGGGTCATGTTGGTGGGATATTGTTCTTTTTGTTGGTAGCCACGCTACCGTAACGCATGTATTTTCATAGTTGTTTGTGATCCAGTGACGTGCAGTGCCCACCAAAGGTGCCTCCGTTGCTGGGAAAACTGCGCCCTCCTTTGGTCCAGCTTGGGACTCATCCTGATGCGCATTTTCTTCAAAAAAGTTTGTCGTGCTGTCGTCACTGTTTATAAGTCTTTATGACCCTGCAAGGGTATGTTGTATAAGGCTACGCACGCAAGATGTAGCATTTAACTAATGATGGCATCTTATTTACTCACAATGCTTTATGAAAGTCGTCTTTTCAGATTTTTTTTTCGCATGGAATCAAACCAACCCCCAGGTGTGTGTGCTCGATTGTCTTCCATTATCAAGCCGTTCTAATAATGCGCGTGGCCTTGTTTTTCCGCTACTATGTCACCTGTTTCGTCTTTATGACGCACACTGAGGCAGTTTTCACTATACACATTAACATTTTCCTTTGTATTGATTTTAGTTCTTCCAATGAGTGACACATAACATTGTCGCCGAACTATAGAGAAGTATCGAAATTTGGACGAAAAAACACGCACTTTAGGTTATAGACTGTTATGTTATACAAACACACAAATAAATGTGCTTAAAATAGAAATGAACTGGTGTAAACATAAAAATACCGAAGATTGCAAACACTAATGTGACGATTTTCCCCTTTTTTAAAGAATGATGTAGAAATGGCGTTAATAATATTTATGGGGTACGAGTAGTTGTTATGCAGAAAAGCATAAATGAACTCCTTTGGGTACGAACGTACACCTGCTGAAAATGATGGCATGACAGCTTTCGTTAAACATGTACATAATACAGGCGAGTGGGACTTAAAGTTCTCTGCAAAAGAACGCCATGTGTGAAATCAAAGTTACATCGAGTTGAAGAAAGCTTAGCTCGGCAAAATCAGGTTTTCGTTTCCCGTCCCTCGCCCACCTGCCTATAGTGTTTCTCTCTCATTTTATTCAATGAACAAATGACTTAATTATATATATGATAAGTTTAATTGTTGGCAAAGACAATATAAATAAATATTTAAACAAGCAGGGAATTACAGGCTCAAGTAGAAGTATAAAATGTCAAAAAATGTTTCAGTAACAATTTTTGAACAAAGAAAAGTGTGATGGTTAATTTGACAGTTATTATAGCAACGATAATTTAAACGTTAATTATAATATTAACTTGTCAAATGTTTATGTTGTTAATTTTTACTAAACAAATTGAAACAGGGGGCTGCTGATCCCAGAAGATCAGAAAAAATATGTATAGTAGTAACGTCATATTTAGTCCGTGACTTGTAAACTTTTAAACAAAATTATATAACATTGGTTGCAAATTGACGAAATTGCTATCGTTTGGCAATTTAGCACATCGGTATTGAATTGTCTTTCACGAAAAAAAGCATTAAACTGTTTAAACTAAGTGCAAATTAGCGACCATTTTGGGGACAAATTTTAAGTTGACCATTAATGAATAACGACAAACATTTTATGATGTGCGGGAAAGCATAGAGTCATTCGAATAAGTTGTTAATTTAAATTTATGTTGTTTTTGTTTTCTCCAGATTTTTGAAATATTTTTTTGTGGGGCAAAGTGAGTTTTTTCTTCAAACGATGCTCGAAATATTTTTCATCCGTAAAAAAGCTCCCTTCTTCAAGACTTTACTATCTGTAAATCGTTTCTAAAGTGTTGGTGCTTTGGTTTCCTAATGAAACGAAAGTTACATGTCCAAGAGATCACCCCCATTCGCCACTGAATATTTTGTCTAAAAGCAATCGAAACCTAGGGATTTAGCATTGAAAGGTTCGTTGGCGCAGTGGATGTCCATTTGGGCGGTCTAAACATGACGCAAGTAACAGCTTTTTTGCAGACGCTAAGGCGTTTGATTTGTTTGAACAAGACAAGCCGGCAATTTACTGTTTGATATCCGTTTTTTGTCAGTTTAAACTGTTGTTCAACGAGTACATAAACGCTCTCAAAGAGCAATAGTTTAGACGAATTAAATTTGTATTGACAAATTTTCTATGGAGGGTGTTTTCAATGTGGTGACCGAACAGCGAAATTTTATGGAGAATGACCAGATCGATTTGTCCCCAGTATCATGTGAACTTTGTCTTGGACAAATTTCAATAATCGAATTTATGAATTGGAGAGGAAATGCTTATAATATCCAGGAAGTAGACCTAGCGATACAGGTTTCAAGTTTGGTATTAATCGTCTCGTTTTTAGTCCCTATATACAAGGTTTGGGGTTCAGCAATCGTTATGAGCACTGCTTGTAAAAGAGACACCGTTTCTGATTGGTAAAAATGAGTGAAAGAATAGAGTGGAAAATGCCACATTCATTTAAGAATGATTTTTCTTTTCAGATTTCATACGCAGCGATTATTCATGTCAGTGGAGTTTGTTCAGCATAAAACGAACATATGGACAGATATGAATAATTACCCCCTCTAAAAAGATGCAGAAAGATCTTGTCTGGAAGCAAACTAATCTAATAATGCACACACTTGAAGAGAATGGCAATGTCATGACGTCATTTAGTACGATCTACGTTGTCATAGCAACTAAGATTTGGATGAGAAATTTCATTGTTATCGAATGAATTCAGGTCCGTACCTCACTGCTTCAGACAAAAAGTCAAAAATGTAAAACACATAATGCTTACACTTTCTTGTAAAGCTGTAACAGCACTGTAAGTATCATTTTGCAAAATGCACAGCGCATTCAAAGTTGCAACGTTTTTCGATTAAAATTAAAAGAAAAAATCAGAACTTGAAAATTGAAGTTTTGTGTTGGACTTATGGCGACAATTCATTGACTCATTCTCATTCTTTTATTATTCTTATATATTTGGTTTTTTTTTTTGCTTGGTTTTGTTTAGGTAATGGGCAAAGATAATTTACACCATTTTGTGCATAAACGGAGTTCACCACACGCGCATCGTCGGCGCCGTAGCACTGAGCATGTACAGACGCTTGAGGCAGAACCTATGGTAAGTGAAGAGGTTGATCTAATTTGCTGCTCAAAATAATGGTACAGTTAAACTGATACTTTTCGAAAAAGCAGGTACGACAGCTGGGCTGTCTAAGTGCGAAGTTTCACCACGAGCACGCCTTGAGAGATGCTTTTCAAAAATTTCATTAGGTTTTCTTGTTGAAAATAAGCCAGGCGAATCCTTTGATCTTGTTGTCACGGGCCGTAAGTGTCTGGTTTTGTTTGCTATTCAGAATGCATTTTCAAAATCCAGCATTCCTTACTAAAAATACATCAATCTAGAAAGAAACCTTGAGAAAAAAGGGTATTTCTTTGCAGAGGTGATGCACAGTTGTACAACATGAGATAATGCTTACTCTATTTAGTGTAAAATTGTAGACACTGGACCAAAAGGTCTAGGGTTGTGTACTTGTAAAATACCTTCAATGTCTGACCATCGCCGATTTTGTTTGCCCACTGTTGCGGCAATATTTTGCACAGAATGCAACTATAGTATTCACATTTGCCAGACAAAATCTGCACGACGTTTAAAGTTTATCAGTTACTGGTCACTTTAGCTGATTAATTGTCATTAAAGAAATGATGGTAAATTAATTTTGAGTAAATCAATGAGAAAGAATGCAGTGCAGAAGACCATAATTTTGGCCTCATAGAGATCGGGCAACTCTATCTTTCACGTCGGTCGCTGGTAATTTGATTTTTTTTTCCTTCGTGTTCGGAGTAACTAACCAACATAGAACCATTCGTCGCCGGGAAACCAAATTAGATTTCTCAAGGGGTTTGGCCTGGGCACGTGGATTCCTTACTTCGATAGCTTATTAAGTTAATGTTGTAATGTCGCCTGCATTGTGCACACTTTTCGCATGTTTAAGTAGCGTGGCCCCGTGGAACTCACCCGGAAAATCAGGAATATTGTAATCCTGGTTTCTTGGATAAAGTCTGAGAGTCAAATGTATGGACAGTCAGTCTTTTTTAACTTGTGTCATATTGTCGAACAATGAGTCATATCTTTTAACGAGTTAGGGTGCTGTCAAACGAACGACGCAATAATTTGCCTGACACCAACAGTAAAATATCATGTTTATTGAATTGTCAGATTTACTGTATTTTGCAAATAATAAAAACAAACAAAACAAACAAACTAGGGACACTATTTTGTGCAGTAACACCACAAGGTCTTCATAATGCACAATATATACGGTCAAGGTAAATTTTAATGGCCTTTTATTACAATAGGCAAACCTTAGGAAATCCAGAAAGATACTAGTTATAGCATATACTAATCATAATATTAGGATTTATTCGTCCGGGTTTTAATTTTGACTGTAGAGAAAAGTATACTTGTTTATAATAAAAAACATCGTAAGTATGATGAAACAAAAAGAAGAATATCGAATCATGGGCATGGAGGGTGAGCCAATGGGGCCCTGCTCTCCCCCCCCCCAATAAAAAAATAGAAAATAAAACAAGAAAAATGGGGGCAAGTGAAATGTTCTCCCTCTGAAATGTTCTTGACGCCTTTGTGTGAAATTCCTGTTGATGCTTCCTGTGTGCCATACAACAGCATATAAAGTACCTTTTCCCAGAACACCTTTCACTTCGAAACAAATTAAACTAAGTTTGGTGTGGCAAAGAACTATTTTACACTCTCGCCGGGTCATCAAGGGTCATTTGACACACAGCATACAGTACTTTGTCAAAAATTGTATTGCATGAACGTCTCGCAACTTATCATGAACGTGTAGGACGGCAAAATTTCATGAAAATGAGTTTTTGCTTCAATACAAATAAGGTACCCTATGTGCCCACCATAGTATTAATTAACCTGCAAACGTCACATGGCCGACTAAGAATTTCTTTCTTTGCCTCTTGGTTGGAAGTTCATGAGGATAACTACCAGACACGGTATTACCTTCCGTCGCAGCCCTAACCCCACGATGAGAATTAGCTGACTTGTAGCCGAATTTTGGTATCCGACATTTCATCCCCTGTAAAAGCAGAATAGGCCCTATTGCGTTCGGATTTTAAAATCACGCTGGAGCACGACTGCATGCCACTTTCACCCTTCCAAGGCAACTACGCTATTACACAAATCCAATAATCCCATCAGTCGTGCATCCCAGCAGAATTACCTGTGAACACTCCTTGATGTTTATATATGCTCAAGTGGAAATAACATATATTGCAATATATTTTCACCGAGTATGATTTCAAAGATTTACCAAGAACAACATGTGGGAAAAGGAAATTATCATTTGGCCATATGGCAGTATCGACTGTGACGTAAGTTGGTCCATATGCAGAAGTGAGTAGATAATTATAAGTCCGTCATGCACTCTGATCACGACCGCCAATGTGTAATCATACCGATCCACATGTGCCCTTTGTCGCGTGGTATTTGTACTGTGAGTCTGCACGGCTGCCATTGTCCAGAACGCATACGTAAAGAGCTGGTGACGTCAAACTCCACCAATAATAATTAAAGGGGGAATTACTGGAAGTTACCTTTGCTGCGTTATATTTTTGACAAGTGACCTAGACCTAATTAGTAATTCACTTATTTCCACAACGGTGAACGGAGCATTCATATGGGACGCGTCAGAAATCACGCTGTCGCATTTTGACTTAAGTGGCACTTACAATCATGTTCGGTTACCCGAATATAATCGCCAGCCAGAGAGAAATTTTAATTCCCCCAAGTCTAGTCGACTACATTGAGAAAAAAAAGTTAAATGCAGGTTACACTTGACCATGCTGCTGACGGTAACTTCCTCAGAGGCAGGGATGTCACGACTTTACAATTTCTATGAATTTAATGGCTGATGTCTTCCATACTTGTCGACATTATTTTTTTTGTGAAAATCATACGCAGTGACGTATCCAGCGGGGAGGGGGAGGGCAACCTGCCCCTTCCGTGACGGAAGTTTTTGCGTATTTTTTTATTATTTTTATTTTACAGAGAATGGGTGAGTAAGAAAGAAAATTTTCAGTATATTTATTTATCAAAATATTAGCACCAAATTCATTAGAAAACAACACCAGCGAAGAAAGGCAAGGATGTCGGGACCGTGGGAAGGGCTTTTATTTTTCTCCACAACATTATGTTGAATGAGCTCGAAGACCCATTTGATTTTGGATTCCCCCCCCCCCACACACACGCACACAAAGCTGGCCATAAATCATTATACATCAAACTGGAGTATCATTTTGGCTTTTGGCTTTAAGAGGCGACACGGCCACCTAAAAACACGGCGGCGTATCCAGCTTTTGGTGGGGGGGCAAATTCAAAAGCAAATGCTGCTGCGGGCTCATTTAATGTGATGTTGGGGAGAAAAATCGAAAGCCTGACTCACGGCCCTGACATCCTTGCTTTTATTGCACAATGAAGTGTTGTTTTCTTAGGGTTTTGGTGCTAATATTTGATGTATAAATATACCAATTACTTTCCTTCCTGCTCATTATGAGTTTTCTTCTTTTAAAAAAAGAATCCCTCGGGGGGAACAAGTTGCCCCCATGCCCCAGGCTGGTTACGCCACTGTGAAAAGGCCTTTTATGCGAAAATTTTTTCTGAGCTTCTTATGTCATTTTGTTTAATTCTTGGGTGCAATGATGTCATGCAAAGTCTCTAACCGACTTCCTGCATTTTGACGTCTTGCGTGCCGTTAGCGTTCGTTACTTCCATAATGGAAACCAGGCTTAATTCTGGCAATCCTCGTTATTCAACTATTAATTTTTGATTTCATTCTTAACTGGGCACAGTAGGATATAGCTCAAGAATCTTGTCAACACAAACGTTTTATACAAAGCTTTGTAACGGTTTCTCCGACACAAAAAATACACGGTGGTATTTACTATGTTTCAAAACGGTTTTGTGTTTAGGTTAAGCGTGTCATCCAACAGACGGGATTCAAGAGGGACAAACGTGGCTTCAAGGATCTACATCTGGCGTTCAGGCGGCTCAGGCGGGACGTGGCCGCCAAGACGACGGGCAAAGACGCCGGGCAAAAATCTGGCGAAAGCAATGACAAGGAAAAGAACTGGACTGACTTCAACGATCCGCTCATACCAAAACAATGGTACCTGGTGAGTACTCTTCGAGCGTTTGGTCGGTGAGTGTCCCAGACTAGGGCCAGTTTACACATATGAAGCAAACTATGGGACAAAGAGAACCCCCGCCTTTGTATTGGTCATTGGTATACCGGTGTCTCAGGAATTCTTTTCCGACATCTAGGGGGATGTGTTAAGTGAAAATAGGGTGGAGTGTGTATAGGGATTGGACTTGTTGGGGGGTGTACCCCTCTGTCCCATTTCGTGCCTGCTATAAGTTTACTGGACGAAGGTAGTCCAGTAAATCGGCGAATAAGGAGAAGTTAGGGGGCTCCATATACTCATTAGCAGGAACGGCTTTAGACCACAGATGAGTGTATAATTCATTGGAAATAATGCATGTCTTCAAAGGGAAGGACATGTATACAGATCAGTGGCATAACTAAGATTTTACTAATGTGGGGGGGGCACAAGGGGGCATCTGCATCTTATGGGGGAACCTTTCAGTGGTGTGGTTTTTTGGGGGCAAGCGGGAATTCGTGGGGGCACGTCCCCCCCCCCGGTGGCTACACCCCTGATACAGAGGTTATATTTAAGGTTTGCATTCAGCGTGAAGGGTTCGGTAGGTTGGGCCTTTCCCACTTTATTCACCTTGAAGGAAATAGGGAATAAAAATGACAGGAGCCCGTTTGTGGTTAAAAAAACAAAGAATGGGGACTCGTTTGATATATTCACTCCTATTTTTATCAATCGGGATTCCATTTTGGGAACTGCCTCTTCCTTTTAAACACAGGATTTATAATAAGGAAAATACTACAGTAGAGTTGCGTAGCAAAACTGTCTCATAACCATGGATGTCAATGACTTTTCTCTTAAATTGTACGTTTAGCCCAGTTAGACATTTAAAGGGATGGCGAGCGAAATTTTACGGGAAGCAGGCTCTTGCTTGCCCGTAAATTTTACGAGAAATCGTTGGCACCTGTAGCCTCGCCTGGCAAGTAATTTCAAGTAAATCAACAGGAACTTTTACATTGTACCTCAAATCAAGGTGGATGGTGAGGGCCATGAGGCACAATGTCAAAGTAAAAGAGAAAGCTGAAATATCGGTTTTAAGGGCAGTCCGGATGAGACATTGGGAAAGGGACCAAAATTTGGGGGGGGGGGTGAACAACTGTTGGAGCCCTTAGGCCTTATGGTCCTGTTTAGGACTGACGCTATAGGTTGGTAATTTTCACACGCTTTTTGAAGCAAGGGATAGGAAACGTGGCCAAGAAATTGCCTCATTATTAAAAAAATGGCAAACAATATTTTTGCTTTTTCTAGAATTCATTTAAAAATACCGGACCAGACACAGCACTGCCGTCACTCTAAAAAACATAACCCCCAGGGTGAAAAAAGTTTATCGCTTACTTCCCCCAGCTACCAAATTTGAATTCTATTCAAAGAAATCGCAGCTATATGGTGAACAGATTTCAAAGTTGTTTGAAAAACAAAATTGCTTTTTTATCAGAAAAATACTGGCCAGGCCGATGGCAAAACGGGTCTCGATCTCAACGTGGAGGCAGCATGGAAAAAAGGCTACACAGGCAAAGGTGTGACTATTGCAATCATGGACGATGGTAAGAAATCGTGATATGCCCAAACGTTATCATAATTATTATAACTTTGACTTTACTTTTTTGTAAATTTAAATTTAAAGATGTAGTATTTTTTCTCATTTTGATATAGTTTTCTTCATTAATCATGCTGATACAGTTTATTGATAATTAAGAAAGACTCCTTCACTATCAACGCTAGGCCTAAAAAAGTTCCATGCAGACGCATTTCCAAGCAAAAAATGTGTTTCAAACACGATTACCGCAATTACCTTTCATAAATATCCAAGTTTCATGAGAACACTGATAACTACATCTTTTATTCCTAATAGGTCAAATTCCTCTACATTCACCCCATTACACGTGTTTTTCAAATGTCAGGTTCATTTGCGATCGATTCTCATCATGCAGGTATCGATTACATGCACGACGATATAGCGCCTAATTTCAATCTTGCGGCAAGTTTCGATTACAGTAGTAACGACGCCTTCCCGTACCCGCGATACACGGATGACTGGTTCAACAGGTAAGACACATGGCGTCCTCCTAAATGATATCAGAAAACAAATCAGTCGAACATGCAAGAGCAGGCGCGGTTCTACAGCGAATTTTTGGGGGAGGGGGCTGGACCCGTCGCACGTGACGTCACCTTTTAAGTTTTGATATTGCTCTGTAATTTTTTCTCATGGGGGGGGCTAAACAAAAATTGGGGGGAAAGAGCCCCCCGCCCCCCACCCCCCGGAGAACCGCGTCCGATTACTCAGGGGGTAATTTGGGATCCCTTTCCCCGGCCCTCATCTCACCATGATTCAGACCAATGAACATTCAGTATATCCATTCGCACACACCCATGTGTTTTCCCGGTATAGTAAGCAATTTGTGCTGGACTAATTTCTTGGCAATCACAGAGCAGAACCTGTCCATTACTAGGCAGTTGCTTCTTAAGGTGACAAACAGTCCGAAAAACCGCGCACATTTTGATTGACAGTCTATTTGGTAATCAATTTTAATCAGCCCCTTAGAAGTCACAGCAAAGACCAAAAATAAAGATGCATCAGATGCAATTATATTAAAGGTGCAGATCCATTGTGGTGTCACCGTCCCCCCCCCCTTGCAATTGTTTTTTCCATTTACAGGTTCCAAGGCCCCCTAAGAAGCATAAACCCTATAGGAGCTTTATTTGCGTGTCAAGTCAAGGAAAAAAGGAATAGATATACACTGCTCAACAACGGCGACAAATAAAATACCCTCAGGAAGACAAATTTCGAACTTCCCCCAGCAAAAATCATGGATCCGCTCCTGTACGAATTCAACATTTGTGGATTCCAGGGGGCGCAACAGGGGCCATGCTCAACACAGCAGAAGCAATTTTAAATTACGTGAGAAGGGTAATTTCGTGCACTTTCATTAAAAAATTTCAACTTTTGGAGCTGCTCCCCAAAAGAATTCTGACCCAAAACTTTGAGTTCTAGATCAACCCTTGATAATCACGCGCGAGTGTGGGCATGCGGAGGCTATGAAATACACTAGAAGTTTTTATACATTTTTCAGGATTTTTAGACGTGGCGAGACAACAACTACATTGTGGCTCAAAAGTCACCTGAACGAGGTTGTGTTCAACATTAATACGTGTTAGTGTTCACACGTCTGACACTGATATTTTTTTCCAGTTCAGTAATTGATGGACGACGGTGACATTTCGCTAGCCTTCAACTTATGTGTTACGGGCGGTCGATCTCAAGAAACAAACTCCAAGACCCTTTCAGGCAAACCGAATTATGAGAGCGCGCATGTAGTTCGTCGTTTCCACACGATTACTATGCTTGCTATAATGATCATGTGTGGCTGTAGTTATGTGAGCCATAATGCATTATGCGTAATGTGTTTTGACTCACACCATAGACGGGGGCGATAAAAGTGTCATAAATGTGGTTGGATGCCTTTCCCTGTGCGAATGCAGAGTGCAGAATGTTCTGTACTAACGAATAAGTTCCCTTCGCCCCAGACAACATTTAGTATTCCAAACACATCGCAAACAAACCGACATTTCGATTGTGAGACCATGCATACCCATGTTAATTAACTAGCACTCGTGTTCATTGTTTGGTTTTTCTATTGTAGTCATGGGACACGTTGTGCAGGAGAGGTGTCCGCGGTTGCTGATAATGGTATCTGTGGAGTTGGTATAGCATACAACTCGAAAATTGCTGGTAAGGAGCACTGCTGCAGGTTATTGATCAATCTTCCTTGAAATTGAAAAAAAAACCTACTTTCTTTGCGTTGATGTTCGTGTTTACTGTCACGGGCAAATACCTCCCCCCCACGGTTGTCCAAAAGTATGAACAACTACTAACTAAAAACTGTAGAGTGGAATATAATTTGGTCATTTTATTATCTTTCGGGCTTTAAATGTCATTATGGGACTGCAGAAATCAGTAAATGATTTTATTGATGAGCCTAAAGGACAGACGACTAAGATGAAGGGTTGGTAAATAACTCTCCTTTTAGCACGAAAACGAGGGACATTGCACGCTAATTCCATACTTTCTGAGCGGTGTTAATAAGGGAATAAAAATGCTTGGCCAGTCTTGAACATATGACTGGCTCAGGAGAATGGAAGCTACTTATGCCCAAGCCGCAGGTGAAGTGAGTGCATAGTTCATTCTCCTGAGCCGGTCTTAAGCAAACAAGACCGACTAGTAAATATTTACTCCAATTCATAAATACTGTTTTATTAATAGAGACCAAAGGAATCAATGTGCGATCAATTTCGAAGGATTTTGTTCAAGTATTTTTCTTTCAATTTCCCATATACCCCGTCCATTTTATGGTATAGTCCTCGTGTAAGTTGTCCAGAAGAATCTCCTTATATGGACTTGGCGCGCATGGCGAGTTCTCCTCACGCAGACTCTTTACCAATAGGAATGGATTAACTGTCTTGTATCCACGGATTTCAATTATTAAAAAGACTTTTAATTTAGATGAATGCTTGTATCCGGATGCCAGCGCGTTTTTTTAGCAGCGGGCATTATCAAATAGCAGCAGGCATTATCAAATGTTAATACAAAGTCACGTAATGCATCGTGAGGAGGTATTTTTAAATGTTTGTTAAAGGTATAAACTCATGAACTGTATTTGCAAGTATAAAGACAAGATAATGGAAGCACTCACATCTCGTTACTCAATTAAACTACGCCCCTCATATGTTCAGGAAATCATTTTCCGGAATGAGAAAATTGGAAGTATTCTTTAAGAAAAATATGGTCTGTAATTCAAATGAAACACATTCTTGTTGGGCATGTTGTTTAATGTTATTCATATCTGTAATCCAGTTTTTATTTATTGCAAAACATTCGCCATGAAGGAGCATATAGGTAAGAATGCCTTTAAAGTGTAATCTGAATTTGTTTCACTCAGGTATCCGCATGCTGGACCAGCCATTTATGACCGACCTGATCGAAGCGTCTTCCATGAGACACGAACCCCAGCTGATCGATATTTACAGCGCTAGCTGGGGGCCACAAGACAACGGCAAGACGGTGGATGGACCACGGGACCTCACGCTAGAAGCAATAGCTGATGGAGTCAACAAGGTTCGTTTCTACACTCCAAATGATGCGTACTGCTTTTAACATGAATGAATCAACAAACCAGATGTTAATAGAAATCATAGGCGTTGCCAGTTTTTTCCAGAGGGAGAGAGAGCCAGAGGGCTTTGACCCCTCCAGAGGGAGGGGTCAAAGCGCTTATCAGTGGCAGAACGATTAACCCTTGATGGTGGTAGCGAGTCAATTCCAAGGCATTTTCAATCAAATTTGTGATTGTCAGTCCCTTTTCTCTCTTTCTCTACTTTGCAATGCATCACTGTGTGTGATAGGTGTCAGATCGAGATGTTATACAGAATAGGCAGTATTCGTACCAAACAAAAAAAAACCACCAGTATTCAAGCAATACTTTTGTGGATTCAAAAAGAAACCGCACATTATAAAAATTGTTTTGAAAGGTTTTAAGAAGGTTGGACCTCTCACTACGTGTTACAACTTCGTACAAATACCGGCGTGTCCTGTGTACCTGGCGCAAATACAGTAAATTTAAGGTGAACATCCTTGACCAACTTGCCAGAAATATTTCACAGCTGAGATTCGCATGGGTAAGATATTTATGGTATGATCTTTCCTGAAGGGACGTGGCGGCAAGGGGAGCATCTATGTTTGGGCTTCAGGGGATGGTGGCCCCAATGACGACTGCAACTGCGACGGGTACGCGTCTAGCATGTGGACCATTTCCATTAACTCAGCCATAAACGACGGGCGTACCGCCCTCTACGACGAGTCGTGCTCGTCCACATTAGCCTCCACTTTCAGCAACGGCAGGAACAGGCATCCTGAAGCTGGTGTGGTGAGTTGGAGCGTTAACGGACCTCATTGGTTCAAAGCATATTTGTATTGCTTACTCATTCGTGTTTGTCATGGTCATGTCATGTGGCTTTAGCTCAGTGACACCACTGATAGATTTTCCCGCAGTCCTAGCTTGTCATTCGCATCCTGCATATTCATGAACTACTACAAGGAGAAACTCCTATCTCATCGCAAATTTTCAGCCAAAGGACATTTCAATTTTTCCAGTAATTGGGCTAGGTTTCCGAAGACGGTTCATCGTGCTTTAACAACGTTTGATATAAAAAGGCACATGTTAAGCATGGATGTGAGAGAAAGCTCACATAGCCACCGAAGTCAATGAATTCGTGGCAACTGTCACAGAAATGAACCGTGCTACTGCTTGATTTACAGGCTACGACAGATCTGTACGGTAACTGCACGCTAGCTCACTCGGGTACATCAGCCGCTGCTCCAGAGGCTGCGGGAGTCTTCGCTTTGGCGCTCGAAGCCAAGTAAGTAGAGGAGGTGTGATTTTACTGCCCCAAATAATGGAGCCAATGTACACAATGAACTTCAAAACAAATTGAAAGTAAACTGGGAAGCGGTTTCCTCTGGTAAATGAAGAAGCGCTACTGTGATTGTTACTTGCCATTCTTTCTGTTCATCTCAAGGTTCTCTCAGGAAAACATGCTCTTGCAGTTTATAGTAACTTTCACACCTTGTCGTTGAAACATTCATTAATTAAGCCACTGTAGTTCTGCAGTTCCACAATCCGTACTGTTTCGAGTCAGAGAAAGTTTCTTTTGCACATCTTTTCGGGGAAAATCCTTCTTTAAGTCAGGATATTTCCTCAAATGAACCCACCAGTTATGTTTTTCAAATGCAGATTGTCATCACTGCAGCATGTCTCAGCTCTCACTTGACTGCAGCAAAACCTACTCAATAATTTAAATATCAGTATCTCCCGCTCCTCAGCATGGGCGGAAATCTGTCTTTTGTGAGGGGGTACAAATATAATCATATCGCCACTTTTCAAGTCACTGGCTACGCGTACCCGCAGCCTGCACCACCGACTCCGCACTTGCCGACGTCACGATCTCACCTGGGATAGAGGATGTACACGTACTGAGCTTTTAGAAATCATACCCCAAATGTGACCAGAGATCTCCGCCCATGTTCCTCAGTCTTGTATTGACCTGCTTTCCACAGCCCTGACCTGACCTGGAGGGACATACAGCACCTGACTGTTCTCACCTCCAAGCGAAACCAGCTGTATGACGACAATTACCAGTGGCAGTGCAACGGGGTGGGCCTGGAATTCAACCACCTCTTCGGTTTCGGGGTGTTGGACGCAGGGGCTATGGTGGAACTGGCTGAGAAATGGAAGACTGTACCGGAACGGTTCCACTGCTCTGGGGCCACCTACAAGGGAGTCAGGTGAGTTTGGTGGTGTGGCTAATGTCAAAAATGGAAAATACAATGTCTGTTAGTCTAAGTGTAGGACCTTTTTTTTAAATGCACATGCACTTGGAGACAATACACGTAGTGTTTAATATTGGACACAACGGTAAGTACAATGAAATCAGTTATAAATCTTACGTTTGTGGGTAATCCGTGGCTTAAGTCACAATAGGCTGGGTGATTGAGTACTTGTGTTCCAGGGACAGTCCTATAAAAGTAAGGCTTTACAAATCAAGAAACACTCAGTGATGAACAGGTGGTAGATAGAGAAAGATAATATTCAGGATACCTTTACATTTTTCACTTTTCCAGTCAAGTGCCAAACGGTATGTCTGGTGAGAAACTAGTATTACGTCTCACCACAGACGCCTGTGATGGCCAGGACAACGTGGTGAATTACCTGGAGCACACCCAAGCCATCATCACCCTGAACAGCACCCGGCGGGGAGATGTGACAATTCACCTGACGTCCCCCATGGGCACCCGTAGTATCCTCCTCAGTGAGCGGCCGGCTGACGAAGATGTCATCGACGGCTTCCAGCGCTGGCCCTTCATGACCACCCACACCTGGGGCGAGGACCCGCGAGGCGAATGGGTGCTGGAGGTTGTCATGGCCGACGGAAGCCCTCACACCGCCACACTGACCGAGTGGACCCTGGTGCTCCATGGCACCAAGGAGGGGACGTACATCGAGGAGGCCAAGTCCAAGTCCAGCTGCAAAAAGGCCGTCCTGGAGGCCGAGAAGGAGCAAGAAATCGAGGAGAAGGAGCAAGAGAAGCTAGACAAAAGCCAGCCGGAAAATATGGACTTGGCCGAGGAGGTTGAGTTGCTCAGAGACCTAGAGGGCGCCATCGAAGATGAGGAAAAGCAGCAGTTTGAACAGGAAGTTGAAGCTGTCGGCCAGGAGGTGGAGGACGAAATGGAGGACGAAGTCTTCAAAGAGCCGGCAGAACAGGACCTCGAACTGCCAGCCCTCACGGCCGAGGACCTGCAGGATCTCAAGGACATCCCCGACGTGTTCTACTACCCGGGCGGTGGTGATTCCTGGTACGGCACAAACGATGTCTACGGTGATGCTGCAGGGAGAGGCCAGTGGGATGGATGGACGGATCAGGATGACAAGAACATCGACTGGAAAGACCCAGAGGTCTGGAACCGACTCAGCCAGTTGTTTGAGGAGAAGTATGGGAAAAGCAAATCTCCATATGGATATCGATATTAAGACCCACCCAGACCCTCCGCCCCGTCCGATCAGGTTACTATCAGCAGGATTTTTTTGGGAGGGGTGTTTGATTCCAGTGTCGACAAAATTATGCTAACTAGATTGAGATTAAATTATCCTGGTATATTACCACCTTATTTCTTCCGCACGGGGCAACATTATTTTTTTTAAAAGAATGTTGACCAAATTAAAAATATCAAAAGGGATTTCCCTGTTCTGTTTGGCCACCGTTCGGGCCTTTGTGATTCACACTAACTTGAAAATACAGTACATGTATGTATTCTGTTTCTCCATCACTTATTAAATTGCACTGATTTCGTGAAGACCACGCATAACCTCGTCCTCAGCCGAGATCCAAGGTTGTGTAATACGTGCACCTGGATCCAGTTAAAATTTCCGCGCATAAAAGCGGAACATGACTTCGCCCTAGTAGAAGCACCCCTTCATCGGTTGAAAAGAGCCAAGTTGGGGGAGAATGTTCGTTTTGTTGGTAGCGAGGCGCCCGTAACATTTGCATGTCATAATCATTCGTGAACCAGCGACGTGCAGTTCCAACCGAAGGTGTCTCCGTTGCAAGCAAAAATTGCGCCCTCTCTTGGTCTCGCTCGGGGCGAGACCAAGCTATTATTAAGTTAAAAGCTCCCGTCCGCTCGGCTGCCCAGCGGTCACGCTCCAGTACTCGCTAAGCCATGCACAATGAGTTTCGAAAGAAAGTGGTAAACGGCGTGTTCATTGCTCTATTAGTTTATTCATTAAACTGAAAACGTTCGAAACTGCTGTCTTCGAAACTAACATATTTGTTAATTGGGTTTCAAGTCCGACTCAGTTTATGTCAGCTCCCCAAAGTAAGTCAAGTTGCTTTTGGCACTTTAAATTAAATGGTTAGTATAGACAATGCTTGCGATATTCGTCGGTGATGGATTGTTTAAATAGTGTATTGTGTTCTAGAATATCCTCACAAAAAGGTCAGAAGACAGTTTGATGTCATTTTCTGCCGTCGTTTACTTCCACAAGATTTTGAATTTCTTAAAGCGTGTGTTCAATTTACATGAAAACCACACGAGGGTGACACCGCGTCTACGTACGAGCTAAAGACTTCACTTGCCTCCATTTGAAAGCAACCGCGCAGATATATTCGTGAATGCCTATAACAATGTCTTCTCTAAAATCATATTTTTCACCATGTCAATCCAGACTTAGTTTTGAGCTGTGCTGTAATCAAGTCATAACGCACCATCAGAAGCCATTCACAAGTAACAATAAATCCCTACTTTGCTATTTATTGACGATTACGTTCTGAGAGAAGCATTCGTTTGCAATTGTTTATTTTGTTGATTAGCCTTGTGGTTGACATTTTATTCGGACTTCAGCATGATTTAAAATTCACCCTACCTTCGCTGAACCTTGGTACATAAGGCGATAACACACGTCTTAGGAGTTTCGGGCACTGTTGGAGGAACCCTTTAGTAAATGGACGCCTGTTGTGTTGTGAACTTTTTGTACAATCAGTCATTCGTGGTTACGTTCACCTTGAGTAAAATCCGTAAATGAAACACACTAACTGCAAAGAATGGATACGGTGTTCTTCCTCAGTACTTGCACATAAATAATGTCATGCTACGTATATAAAAGGGAGTTGTTCGTGAACTTATAGAAGCCAGAAGCCAATAAATTTGATTACATAGTGCATGTTTCAATCTAGATATGAAACGTAGATACAGCTTTTTTATAGCAAAAGTAGTTTTCGAGATCAAGTTGTGCAGGGGAAATTTGAGCGTTTGTTTATCATCTGTAAAGTTATTCAGCCACGTTTCAGATAGGCCATCTGTACTTATCTTTTAATTGATTGATTTAATTTCTTTAATTGACTGTTTTGTGACAAATGAAACACACCGACTGCATCCCAATGCAACACAATACGGATGTTGAGTTTAAGAATAGCTTGCCATTACATGCTTTAAGGATGGCCATAATGTGAGATTTTGTCAATTCACGAACCAATTCATTCTTCTTTTCAAGTATTTGACAGTGTTCACAACTTCCTGAAATGTACTTCTGCGTAATAACATAAATGCGAATATCTCAAATGAAGTCTCTTGGCGTCCCTCCCCACTTGGTCTCCAATGTCGTTTCTCACGCTAAACCTACTTCTTTTTTCTCCTAGCTAAATGGCAATGACTTTGAAATCACCTCTGTATATCGACAACGAATGTAATTTGTTTTAGTCAGTTTTTTCGGGTAATTGGTTGTTAAAATTGTGATGCATAGGAAGAGTTGTTTGTATTATTAGTTACTTTCCCCGACAAGAAAAGAAGATATTTTTTTGTGCAAATATCAACGTCGGATCCTTAACTTTGAAGACAAGTGTAAAGTAAAATTTGGATCAACAAAATGATACAATACCTTATTTGGTGTGACAGTACATCTCTAAGCTCATGCAAATCGGCGACAACGACCGCTTGCAATTGGTAAGCTGTCATTATTTGGAGCGATGCAGACTTGATAAACCCGCCAAGTTCGATTATTACCCTAGGGAGTCTCGGTAGTATTTTATGTTGGTCGAGGAGCGCGCCTCCTCCGAACACGGGTTTAGTACGAAGCAGATGTTTAAGTGATTTGCGTTCGAACACAGATATGTAAGACACCTACATCAATCACACAAAGACGTTTCGAGTTAGATTCTTGGTTAAAAAAGCACCTTCACCGCGTCTGAGTTTTCGTTCCCCCCCCCCAAGGTAAAACGTTAATCGCATTTCCTTTCAGTAGACATAAAGCAACTGAATATATTTGTTCTTGCCGAAATGCTGAGTGCCGCTTTGTACTTTGTCTTGTCTAGCAGTAGACTTATGCACTGTATGAAAAAAATACAGATCTGTAGTATTCTTCCTGTCAAAGTAACATATAAATTGTAATGTAAAGTTTGTAAATGAAACCATATGGAATAGAATTATGTACATTACATATAGAACTATGACGAAGATGTTCTTATTCTTTATTTTGCTCGACTTATAAAAATTATTTCACATAGATGTTAAAATTTACCAAAAAAATGCAATTAATTAAGAATGTTAAATATCTGTGTTCTGTCTATCCCTCCGCCAAATAATAAAGAATTCTCCTTAATGTTCTTTTAATCATTATAAAACGCAAAAAAATCTGCACGGATCAGATTTTTGAAGCAAAATTTTAAAACGTGACTGTAGAAATGTCCAAGTAACAAAACCAAGGAAAACTCTCCCAACCGTTCAAATGAGGCTCGTGTTGTTTGAGTTCATCTTAGTTCAGAAACCATGCAAATGTAATAAAGTGTTAGTGGTTGTAAAATAACATGCCTCATGCATAATCATTTTGAATTACTGTCTGTAATTGGCTGAACAAATACCCACACATTGTTTAGTCAAACGCTACGAAGATTTTGAAGCTTGAAACTTGCAAATGCAACAATATTAGTCTCTGCTCATTCTGAGTGATAAATGGTCAAACCTTTCAACGTGTGTCCATTCCATGTCGTCAGATTTCAATATAATTCGTCTCACCCAATATGGTCATGTACATCGTGCTGAATTTAGTCTTTGCTCAGTCGATTTCGAGATGTTCAGTCAAATTCATCTATATAACTAGGCACAGACGTATTGTGGGCTCCCCGCTGCGGAGAGGCCACATCCCTGGCGAGCAGCTGCCCCGTCAGCATCAAAATTACTTTTTCTTCTTGTAATGCGCCCCAAGTTAGTTCTGCCCCCCCCCCAACGCCCGCAACTGACGGCAGGGCTGCCTATATCTGCCTTGAGCAGAAGCACCCCCTCATCAGTTCAAAAGCGGAACCGTTATTGGTGTACACTGCTCATTTACATCTGTAGTAGCCACGCGACCGCAACGCATGCATTTAGTGAACCTACAATTTTTGTGCGGTTCCTACCAAAGGAGCCTGTTGCTGGGAAAAATGCCCCCCTCTGCTGGTCCCACTCGGAGTCCAGTGTATTGTAGGGAAACATATTAATGGCTGAACAACAAAACCTATAAACTTAAATTGAATGAGCAGCGTGTGTTTGTGGTAACAAATAGAGTGGTTGAGGACTGGAAGCCTCCAGCAAGTAGCACATGGACTTGGTCATTCCCGCCAAGTCGACAATTTGGAAAAGCATCCGAAAGTACCAAAGGGTGGGAGAGGGTCGCTCAGGACGACGACGAACGGCAAGGTTAGATGCAAACATAAGGGCTGTCCGTGAATTGCTAGAAAGAGACCCGCATGTGTCTGCCAGACAAAATGGGCGAGGAATTTCGCCATCCCAGGCTCTTTCCACAAGATTGTTAGATTACACATCCAATTGTACTTTACAAGATGCACAGGCGACACGAACTCCTTGATTCAGATCTACCCAGACGACTAAGATTTTGCCAGTGGTTCCTTGACCGGCACCCCAGATTCTTTGAGACATCTTGGGGACATCTTGAAAACCATGTTTACAAATCGCCACCCCAAGATATTAATGACAAATGTGCCAGAATCGTCGCTGCAGTTGAGACTTTAAGAGGACAGAGAGACGTAATCAGGACTGCATTGAGAGCGATGAGAACCAGAGATGAGTCTTGTGTTGAAAGGAATGGGGGCATGTCGAAGGACAATGAGGTTAGGTCGAGACAGGCAAAAGCAACCAAATATTAATGGTGGTTGCCAATTTCCAAAATACTGTAGCGCCGGCGGGTCCGGCCCGTGAGGGCGCCAGCTCGGACCCGCATGGAGTTGGCTGGCTGCCCGCGCTGGTTGCGAACGGCCCGCGGTTTTCCCGCCTCGCGCCTGCGCAGTCCCTGCCGCCAGGCGCCATGTTGGGAAAAGAGCTTATCGGAAGAGGACATTGTGGTACTGTCAGTATTGCGACGGAATAAAGCAGAGATTTTTGTGACCAGAACAGTGAGTTGCACCAGTGTGTCGTTCTTACAGCGTCGCACCCTGTGCAGCGGGACACGCTACAATACTTATCCACGTCCAAGAACGAAGGAATTCATCTCAGTTTCCTTTTCTTAAACTCACTGTAAAAGGGTGTATCTCATAATAACAATTCTATGGTTGGGGGAGCGGGTTAGCGTAGCGGTTCCTTCCTGGGTTTGCACCAATGAGGCCCGGGAATCACAGTTTTCTCCTGCATGCCTCTGAAACTGGACCTTCCTCCTAACTTCGTAATGTGATGCTGATTAATAAAGGTTATGAATAAACGTATAGTTATTGGCGCAAATAGCCTAAGTAGCTGAAAGCACCATTAAAACAAAAACAACACAACAAAAAAGGTTGTTGAAGTTCTTGCACCGCCATCTTGCGTTTGTTCCGTTCTTACTTGCTTTTACGTTACATTTTAGCGACGAGGATTGAGAACCATGGCACCTGGAAGGTTTGCTGGCATACTCCAACCCCCTCCCTTTCTGCAAATCCCTGGTGAACCTACATAACTGCAATTGGTGGTGACGATGACTTCAGTCCATCACGAAAGAAGGCCCACTTCTATCTTGCCTTGTTGATGAAGGTCAGAGAATCTTTTCCATCCACGCTACCCCACTCTTCTGACTCTTCTCCAGGAGGAACAGACCCACAGATCCTGAAGAACCATTTTGAGCCAACGCTTTAATAACGTCATTGCAGCGGAAACGCCGTTTCCGACGTAACTCCTTCAATCATTTTGCTAATGATTCGTCGTGTCCAGCGAAACACAAAACTTGTAACAAAGTTCGGTAAAACAGGATATTTTGCGGTTGTATGTTGGTCGTCTACTATTGCGAAAAGTGGGACCCAAGACCGAAGGACTGGTAGATAAGTTCACTAAATTGCAGATGACTGTGACAAAGAGGACTACGTGCAAGTGCTGATGATCGACGAGCCTGTGAAGATTTCTCATCTTATACAATGGTAGGTCATGGTAAATGGTGTACCGATTACATTTGTGGTAGATTCAGGGTATGGTGTTTCTATTTTGACGCGAAAAACATTTGACAGATATTTCTGATTGACGCATTACATTCTCCAGTTGAACACCAAACGCTTTTATTATTTAAGAAGCATACAATAAAGACATTGGGATGTTTTGAATGCATTGTCGATTTGGCACCCTTTCGTCCACAATGAATATGTATGTTGTTGAACAAGGTACAGATATAATGGGAAGAAATCTAATGAAGGCATTGCAAATTAATATTAACGGTGATACTTTGTAATGATACGAAACCGTCAATCGAAACTGAAATTGCTGCCAAATGTACATGTGTAGTGAGTTGTTTGATCAGTCAGAAGCACTTCCTGGGTCAAAGGTTTCGTTCACAAGGTTAAAGTTGATAGGAATGTGCAACCAGTGGATGTCAAACATTAAGCCGGTTACCCTTTGAAGTAAGGGAGAAGGTTTCTGCAAAGTTAAAAGACCTTGAAATAAACTTGGAGGTATCATAGAGAGAATCGATTCATCGAAGTGGGTTTTACCCATATAAGTTGCATATAAAAATCTGGAGATTTGCGAATTTGTGTAGACCTGGGGCAGATAAATAAAGCTGTTGTACCTGATCGGTATCCCTTGCCGAAAATCGACGACACACTATGTGAATTTAAAAATTCGACTGTCTTTTCACAGTTAGATTTAACTGCTGCATGCATATCACCAGGTTAATGCTGCACGAAGAGTCTTAGACCGCTTACTACATTTTTGACACATGAAGGTTTATTTTAGTACAAACGAGTGTGCTTTGGTTTGTCGTCAACTCCATCAACATTTCAGAAAATGATTAGCATTGCACTGGATGGTTTGAAAGGGGTTCAATGTTTTTGGATGATGTTATTGTGTACGGTAAAACGCAAACAGGACATGATGAAAATTTGAAGAATGTTTGAAGAAGACTACAAAGGTATCGCATTTGACTTAACTTGGAAAAGTGTGTATTTTCTAAACTCAGCCTGAAATTTTTGGGCCATACCATTTAGTACAAAAGGTATGCAGCCAGAAATTCCAAGCGATTCTCAATGCTTAAGTTCCATTTGACAAGAAATCACTAAGATCTTTCTTGGGACTTGCAAGATATTTTACCAAATACATTCCTTCATTTGCAACTATTGTTGAACCATTGAGATCTCTTATTAAAAGTGACACTAAAATTGTTTGGTCTGGTGCTACTAAAGAGAGTTTTGACAAAGTGCAGTCAGAATTTAGTAAAGGTCCATGTTTAGCCATGTATGACCCAGAATTAGAAACATTTGTAACAACTGATGCATCCATGTACGATTTAGGTGCTGTTCTCTCGCAAATGAAGAATGGAAATGTAATTGTTACTGGAAAACACAAGCTGAAGTCTAGCTCATGCCGAAAAGAAATACTTTGCGAGTGAAAAAGCAGCCCTCGCATGTGTGTGGGCATGTGAAAAGTGGAATACGTTCTTGTGGGGTCTTAAGTTTGTCCTTATCATCAAGCTTTAGTAACCTTACTCAGTAAAAAGACAGATCGACGTGGCATGCATGCATATTGCTCGTTGGGCGTGTCGGCTTAAGAAGTTTGATTTTGATGTGCAATACGCACGAGGTAGTCAAACCAAATTTACCAATGGGTTGTCAAGATTACCAGTTAAAGCTAAAGAATGTGAGCATGACACTGAGGACGAAATAATATGTCAAGTAGTTCTATATGTCAAAAGTATTACCGTAGAAAGGCTGACGCAAATGAGTCAAAAGGATGATGTACAAAAATACGTTTTGTTGAAAAAGGATGTTGAAGTAGAAATGATGATACTTCATCACTAAGTTAAAGATGAACTAACAGTCTGTGATGGTGTGTAAACGAGTCACTATAGAACTATTGTTCAAAGGGAACTTACAGTAGTTATTGTAAACTTGGCTGATGAATCCCGCATCACTCATACTAAGCAACGCCTGAGAGAACTGTATTGGTGGCCCAAAATGGACAAACAAGTGGAAACCATAATTGTGAGGAATCGTGTTACTTGCCAATACAATGCCAAAAGCATAGGAGATTTGCTCCACTACTCCTTGTGAAATATCAATAGAAGTCATGGAGTAAAGTTGCAACAGATATTGTTTGGCCTTTTAATCGAGCTCAAAACGATCGTAAATATGCCATTACTTTGATCGATCATTAGAGTAGGTGGCCAGAAACTGATTTACTTCATTGGCAACCACTGGCACAGTGATAGAATTTTAAAAAACAATTTTCAGCAGAGAAGGATATCCAAATGAACTCGTTTCAGATAATGGAGTGCAATTTAAATCCCGGGATTTCGAAGATTTTTTTAATTGGAGAAGTATTAAGCATATTTTTTCATCTTTGTATTATCCGCAAAGTAAC